ACTCCTTCTAAGCCTCCATCCTATACCTTCCTTCTCTTCCTCTTCCACTTCCTTTTTCCGCCCAATTCTCTCTCTCCCCTTCACATCCTTTGTCGCTTCCTTCATTAGTCTGTCTTCTCCTTTCCCCCTCCACCTTTATTCTCCCATTTTCTCACTTCCTCTCCTTTTCTCACTCCTCTCTCTCACTCCCTCTATCTCACTTCTCCCTCTTCCATTCCCTGTCTCAATTCCCTTTCCCATTTCCTCTCTCTCCTCCCCTTCCCTCTCTTAATGCCTCTCTCTCTCATTCCGTTTCTCACTTCCTTTCCCTTTCCATCTCCTTCCCATTCCCTCTCTCCTCCCAGCCCCTCTCTTTCCCTTTCCCTTTCCATGTCCCCAATCATTCACTCTCCCCATACTTCTCTCTCTCTCTCTCCCTTTCGTTTTCCATCTCTCTGGCCCCCTCTCTCCTCCCCTCCTCTCTCATTCCCTTTTCCTTTCCATATAACTCATTCATTCCTTCTCCCATTCCCGATCCCCCATCCCTCTATCAATTTCTTTCTGTCTCACTCCGTTTCTCACCCCTTTTCCCTTTCCATCTCCCTCATTCATTCCCTCTCTCTCTCTTTCTCCCTTTCCCTTTCTCTCTCTCTTTCTCCCTTTCCCTTTCCATCTCCCTCATTCTTTCCCTCTCTCTCTCTTTCTCCCTTTCCCTTTCTATCTCCCTCATTCATTCCCTTTCTCTCTTACTCCCTTTCCCTTTCTATCCTCATTCATTCCCTTTCTCTCTCTCTTTCTCTCTTACTTCTTTCCCATTTCCCTCATTTATTTCCTCTCCCTCTCTTCCTCCCTTTCCCTTTCCATCTCCCTCATTCATTCCCTCTCTCTCTCTTTCTCCCTTTCCCTTTCCATCTCCCTCATTCATTCCCTCTCTCTCTTACTCCCTTTTCCTTTCCATCTTCCTCATTCATTCCCTCTCTCTCTCTTTCTCCCTTTCCCTTTCTATCTCCCTCATTCATTCCCTTTCTCTCTTACTCCCTTTTCCCTTTCTATCCTCATTCATTCCCTCTCTCTCTTTCTCCCTTTCCCTTTCCATCTCCCTCATTCATTCCCTTTCTCTCTTACTCCCTTTCCATTTCCAGCCTCATTCATTCACTTTCTCTCTCTTTTTCTCTCTTATTTCCTTCCCATTTCCCCCATTTATTTCCTCTCCCTCTCTTCCTCCCTTTCCCTTTCCATCTCCCTCATTCATTCCCTCTCTCTCTTACTCCCTTTCCCTTTCCATCTCCCTCATTCATTCCCTCTCCCCTTCCCCCAAAGACACCATAACCCACGCCATAAAACCACCACATCTCCCCACCCAAGGTATCACGTACCCACCACCCCCTTCCGCTCGTGTGTCACGCTCTAAGTTCTCTCACCCCTGCCCTCTTCACTACTGCTCCCCCCCCCCCTCCCCCCACTACCCTTCCACGTACCCCAGGTTTCCTTCCTACCCTTTCCCTTTCCCTTTCGCCTAAGTCCCTGTCTTCAGTCGAACCTCTATTCCCCTACATCTCCTCGTAAGTCTAAGTTTTCCCTTTAAGTTTTCACGTAAGTTTCCCTTTAAGTTTTCACGTGTTTCCACGTAAGTCTCCTCCCGTCTCCCCCCCCCCCTTCTCCCTCGTCCTGTACCCATGCCCCTGCCCCCTGCCCCCTGTCCCCTACCTGCCCCAGAGGAGCATATAAGCACAGGAAATGGAACGTTTCTTTACCCAATAGTATTAAGCAAATGTGTAACATTAAACTGCCTTTCGCTGATTGATGTGTAGTTTTATTACTTCCTCATTTCTCTTTTCATTTTTGTGGGTCTATTTCGTTGTCTGTTTATCTATTTCTTTCTTTCTTTCTTTCTTTCTTTTTTGTTTTGTTTATTTTCGTGTATTTTTTTTTTTTTCCATTCTTCTTCGCCTTACCTCGTTAGCTTTCACTTCCATTCTTTTCTTTCCTTTAGAAAAAAGTAATGAATACGAATAAGAATTCCAAAAGCCTCAAATATGTCAATGATAAAGACTTCATAACGCTAGTATGAATGACAGTTAAAATATAGCTAAATTCCATTCATTACAATAATACACATAAAATAACAATAGAATAGACTTTGGATCACTTCTTACGCTGCAGTGAAATCTCCTTCCTGTGTAAACTTCTATTGCATCCATTCTACGAAAAGAACAAAGGGAAATTAATAGAAAATGGAAGACAGGTGCTAAGCGGTTCATTCTTTCAGGTTGTGTGTGTGTGTGTGTGTGTGTGTGTGTTTGTGTGTGTGTGTGTGTGTGTGTGTGTGTGTGTGTGTGTGTGTGTGTGTGTGTGTGTGTGTGTGTGTGTGTGTGTGTGTGTGGTGTGTGTGTGGTGTGTGTGTGTGTGTGTGTGTGTGTGTGTGTGTGTGTGTGTGTGTGTGTGTGTGTGTGTCTGTGTGTGCGTGTGTGCGTGCGTGCGTGCGTGTGTGTGTGGTATGTGTGTGTGTGTGGTGTGTGTGTGTGTGTGTGTGTGTGTGTGTGTGTGTGTGTGTGTGTGTGTGTGTGTGTGTGTGTGTGTGTGGTGTGTGTGGTGTGTGTGGTGTGTGTGTGTGTGTGTGTGTGTGTGTGTGTGTGTGTGGGGGGGGGGGGGGGGGGGTGCGTGTGTGCGTGTGGGGCAGACGATAAAGTATGCACAAAAAAAGTTATATGTTCAGAGAGAGTGAGAAAGTGAGAGTGTGTGTGCGACAAAAATGCTCAAGCCATGTTATGTTCACGTTCAAACGGGGACAACATAGCCCACCAAAAGTACACCAAACCCAAATTCAACAGTAATTGCAAAAAAAATCAGGTGATGTAGCTCTGAACTCTTTGTTGATAATCCTTAGTACTTATGCCGTACGCAAATAAGGACTTTCAACGCTACTGACAATTAAAACTATGTACTGAGCGCGACTTAAGGTGGAGTACGACCTTCGAGTGTGCTTTATACAACCCCTCGAATTGAGAAACCTCTTTACACCGAACAGTCACAACCTTCACACAAAAGTTCAGTGGTAATAACATAACTGTACCTTCACCTCAATATGTGTAATGAATTATACGGTATACTTAATGCTCAATAAAGTCATTAGCATTTGAACAACTGGAAATATCCATAGCAATACCACTGTGTATCGACTTAATGCATTACCCCCCACTATACTCATAAGGGTTCCGTTAAAAGCTCTTCGGACTCCGGTGGTATTAAGCCGAAAAAATGCTGAAAACCTCTGGGTCAGAATCCTGGTGAAACTGAACACCAAAATAAAGACACGTCATTTGGAAGGTGAAGAGAGGAAATGAAAAAATCGCTTGAATTCTAGATTGGTTGGACATCACATATAGACAGAAGATAATTATACGTATGCACAGTAAATATACATTTACATATAAACATAAATAAAGGAATACATACATACATATAGTGTGTGTGTGTGTGTGGAGAGAGAGGGAGAAGGAGGGAGGGAGGGAGGGAGGGGTGGGAGAGAGAGAGGGAGAGAGAGAGAGAGAGAGAGAGAGAGAGAGAGAGAGAGAGAGAGAGAGAGAGAGAGAGAGAGAGAGAGAGAGAGAGAGAGAGAGAAATAGTATTATGTGTATGCATGTATGTATATGCGTGAGTGGAATTACGCGTGTGCACGTATACTGAACACCTGTGTACATGCAAACGTACAGTAGTTATTTACATTGTGGATCAACTTTTTTAACCTTTTTATTGTTCATATTCCAAGGAGAGGAAAGTTTGTGAAGATAATATAGATGATAGTAATGATAATGATAATGATGCAAAAGCAATAACAATAATAATAATATTTATAATAACAACAATAATAAGAATAGTAATAACATCAATAATGACAATAATTATGCAATATATTCATCAAACATCACACAGACATGTAAAACCAAAGGAAAGCATCTCTCCCAATACTCAAAGAAACCCGAAAGTGAATTTAGCACTAACGTTTTAGAGATGAGGATGAGAGTGCATGACATGTATGACGTAATGTGGCATATGCAATGATTCAACTGGTCTTTGCGAAACAAACACTTGTTTTATTTATTTGTTTTATTTGGCAGGTGGAGGTGACAGCAATCATAACAGGAAAAAACGTGTCTGGAAGTCCCTATAAAATCTATGCATTTGTATAATTCATATATGCTCAGTTATAGATCTGTAAAATAATTATATCTACGTATTTATCCTCTTGCAAATGCAGTTACAAACTAACCCAACTATGATAATAATTCATTTCATGACTCTATCCACCTGTCGATTCATTTATGATCCTCTCCACTTAATAGAAATCCATTCACTTACACTAATCCAATTTATGAATCCGTCCACTTACGAACACCTCAATTTCTTATAGTCAATCCAATACTTTAAACAATATATATAATCTATAAACCGCTCCATTTCTAAAAGCCCAAATATCCACTTCTAACAATCCAACCACTTTTAATAATCCACCCATTTATGAATGAATTTACGAATCCCTCCACTTCTAAAAACCCAAACACAACCACAACTCCATATATGCACCCCGCCACTTCTAAAGCCACTCCCTAACAGTACATTATAGAACAAAACCCAACGCGAAAATCACTCTCAGCGTCAGTCAGCTCGAAGGACCAGAGGTCAGCGTGACAGCAGGAAACCCATTCTCCGTTTGGCTGTGGAATGCACCTCCCCTTAAGAGCTTAGATGCGCGCATTTTTTTGGTACGGAGAGAAAGAATATGCTGTTGTTTTTGAAGAAGTCTTTCGATGCGTTTTTTTGGTCTTGTTTTTTGTCTTTTTATTCTTTTTTATGTGTTTTTCTTGCATGAGGGAAATTCCTTTTCTTTTATTCTAACCAACGTAAGAGACGATAGAGGAATGGAAAGGCGTTTCGCAGAATAGCGCGCGTTGTAAAGCAAAGCACAAAAAAAATCGCAACGATCTGCTGGTGCATTCTTTCTCAACTGGCGCGTAGCTTACCTGCCGAGAATCCTTCGAGGCGGGGCGATGCAGCATCCCTTGCACTGAGATCAAAACATTAGCCTTTTTCCCGAGTGTGCATGAGAGCTGACATACTCCACGAGCGGAGTTCAACACCTCGTTCTCAAAACCTTTTCACACATCTTTCAAAACACGCATTGAATGTTCCTTTTCCAGGGTGGTACGGGTTTAAAGTGGGATGGATATGGGTATATGTTTCTGAAACTGGGTATAGCTAGACGGGCACGATCGCTGTCCGCCACATGACACAGCCACAGCAACAAGTGCACTACCAGCTCAAGCCTCCATCACAGCGGCTCGGAGATCTTGGGTATGAGAACCGCCGAGATGCCAAGTACCCTTTATTTGGCGGATGACCCGGCCACAACGCGCTCCTAAAGTCAGAACTGAATGGGAAGAAAAGCTCATTTTATCACCGTATTGAGAATGAAATGATAAAACAATGTTAAAAAAACAAACAAACACAAAGAAGAATTTTCGTCGATTGCGAATTAAATACGATTGGAAAGGTAGATGGGGAAAAAAATAAAAAATTGAGTAGGTTGAAACATTAGGCGAGCCGGTAACGTGCTAGGTTAAATTCTCAAGAGCGAGTTGGCCGTTTACTACGATGCTTAAAACCCCTCACCTATACCCTACCCTATTCCCATACCCATACCCCATACCCGCATACCTACCTTACCCATACCCACACACCAACCCATATCCCATAGACAATGTATTGCGTCATGGGTTATTTACCTTGTTCTTTGTTATCATTGTTGTTAACCTTTTGAACTACTGTCCCCTCCTTATATAAAATTACCGCTATTTTTGTTATGATGTTCATGGCTATTATCATTTCTATTACCATTATGTACATAGTAGTATCGGTACTTATTTTATTTTAATTACTATCGTTTTTTTATCATTATTACCGTTGTTAAGCTGAATAAGAATTATCATTATTATTATCATTATGCTTACTGCATTTACATTATATTGTAAATGCGGTAATCATAATGATTACTATGATGATAATGAGACTTATTGTTGTTATTATCTATATCATTTGTATCATTATCTTTATTATTTTTTTAATTATTATAATCATTATTGATGGTAGTGGAGGTAGTTGCATTTATTGTTATTGTTGTTATTACCATTATCGTTATCAATATCATCATTGTTATTACTATTAATATTAATACTTTACTATGAATATTACCATTAGTAGTAGTACTAGTAATACAATTATCTTTATCATCAGTGTCGTTGTATTTATGATTGTTTATACTATCATTGGCATCAATATGTTATTATTATTAAGAGTAGCATTGTTTATATTATCATCCCTGGGATTATCATTATCATCATTCTTATAATTATCATTATCATTATTATCATCATTTTTATTTTTAACAAAATTATCATTGTCATTATTACATTATCATAGTTTTCTATAATCACGGTCATTATCTTATTATTACTATTACTGTTATTATCACATTGTTATCACCATTGTCATGATTACTGTTGACATTATTATCATTAGTTTTTTATTCATCATTATTATTGCCGGCATTATTGTTAGTATATTCAATACTATTACCATTGCTAGCATTGTAATGATAATGACGGTAACGATTATTGTTGTTATCATTATTAGTAGGTGAAGTAGCGATGTTATCATTATCATAACTATTATTACTATTATCATTAGTAGTACTAGCATTATCACCCCAATTTCTATCATTATTGCTGTAATCATTATCACTAAAGCTGTTATAATTAGTTTTATAATCAACATTGCCCCTATTACAACTGTCATTATTCCTACCACTATTTTATCAGTATCATTATTACTACAGTTACGGTTCTCATTATCATAATTATTTTGCATTATCAGTATCACTAATAAAATAATGGTCTTCATAACTCTCATCATTACCTCGATGCTAATTATCTTATGATTATTGTCACCATTAGAATTGCCATTATCATTCGCTAACATTACTTTTATTATTACCATTACTGTATCGTTGCCAATTTTACTGTCATTGTTAGCATCACTCTTACTATTGTGTACTGAATAGCTGTCTATAGCCCCCCGGGAGTCCCAGCTCCCAAGCCGTAACTGCCAACGGGGTTACTCCATTAAGGTCAGTGGGCATCCGTACAGACTGCTGATCCCTTGAGGTCAGAAACCCACTATTTATAACCAACCCTGAGGACTCCCCTACCTGATCAGTTACATTGCTTTATTTTCTTTCTTTCTTTCTTTCTTTAAATACGAAACTGAAGCAGTGTTCTCGTTTCGGAGAATATCATCTGCCAATGAAAGTTTATAGTAACATCTGGTAACGGAGGGTGGAATAAAACTCTTCATCTACATAAAAAACAAAACAATAAAAGCAAAAACAGAATAGATCTGGAGTTGTTGCCAGATAGCTCGCTCGGAAAGGCAGGATTATACAAGTTCATCCTAGTTTTAAGTTCAGTGTAGAGTTAGCGGCATTATTATAAACAAAACCTCGTTATTTTAAATTCCGTTCGGGGACACACGAGCACATAACTCCCACCCTCATCGTAGTTATGTACAAGAGCCGAATCATTGGATAATTGCTCAGATAACTACGCGGTTTCCAGCCAAACCACTACTTCAGTCATCCGTTCTTTTCATTTTTTTTATCCCTTACTTCTGTTTTTTTCACTCTAATATTATTATTTGTCATCTTTTGCATCAATATCTCAGCGGCCAAAGTACTATCTTGTTTCTGCCATGTAGGAGCCATAATTCACTCTAGTAGATTCAAACACAGTTCTGTTCTGTGACATTTTACTGTGCCTAATATATATATATATATATATATATATATATATATATATATATATATATATTATTGTATATATAAATGTATGTGTGTGTGTTTATGTGTGTGTGTGTGTGTGTGTGTGTGTGTGTGTGTGTGTGTGTGTGTGTGTGTGTGTGTGTGTGTGTGCGTGTATGTGTGTGTGTGTGTGTGTGTGTGTGTGTGTGTGTGTGTGTGTGTGTGTGTGTGTGTGTGTGTGTGTTGCACAGTATTTACATCTGTCTTAAGTGATCGCCATTGCAGAATACTTAACCTACCTTTCCAGTCTCCACCCACGGTCAAACCTGGCTCTATCTCGGTACTTCTCCATAGACAGGTAGATAAATAGATAGATAGATTAAACAAACGCGAATATATATATGTATATATATATATATATATATATATATATATATATATATATATATATATACATATATACTATTCGACAGCCTATCTTTTCGCTGGAGGATATGAGTCTCAATTTAATCTTTATACGAATATATAAATGCTCACACACATACTCGTGTGTGTGTGTGAACACACGTGTGTTTGTGTAGACATTTATATACTCATATATGTATACTGAGTATGTATATATATATTATATATATGTACACACACATATATAAACACACACACACACACACATATATATATATATATATATACATATATACATATATATATATATATATATATATATATACTTATGTATACACACATACACACACACACACACACACACACACACACATATATATATATGTATGTATGTATGTATATATACTTTATATGTATATACATTTAAATGTACACAAACATGTATGTGTATGTGACTTTCACGATCTAGTTCCTATGTTGATCAAATCCTGCCACTATATTTCAATATCTTTTTGAAAATGTGACATGCACATTTCGTGGCAAAGGTCTGGACAAAAATAATCAATTGATGATGGTAAAAAAGATAAAGCACTGATCCTTTGTGAATTTGTTACTGATGCAGTTTTATTTGGCCTGTATTATTCTTTTATCATCATCGTCATTATCGTTATATTATTATCATTATCAACTTCACCATTATCATTATCATAGTGATAATGATAATAACTGTTATAATGATACCGATAAGCATTATGATTATAATGTTTATTATAATTATTATAATAATGATGATAATGATATCAATAACGACAATGATAATGAGGATAATGATAATTATCATTATTATAATTACCATCATCATCGTTATCATCATCCCTATTATTACTACAACGATTATAATGATATATTATCATTATCATTTAATTATAATAATTATTGATAATATTATCCTGATCATTATTATTATTAGTAGTAGTATCACCATGTACTGTATGTTCATTAAGAAAATAATATTGTTACTATTTTATCCTGGTCAGTAACAAGTCAACATACAAACAACATCCATAACCACAGTGAAGTGTTCAGAAAAAAAATTGCAAATGTAAGGCATGTGTTTATGAGGATCATTAAAGCAGTGTGGTGTACGATTTTACTTCTATTGTTATCCCATAGACGAATGAACAAATGCTTAAAAAATATAACTAAGGAGGTCAAACCTGCTACGTTGTAATTTTGCTTTCACACACACACACACACATATAAGTAAACGCGTACTGCTTTAACGAACCTCACAAATACATGACTTATATTTCCAAAACATTTCTTAACATATCTGTGTAGTTTTAAATGTCATTTGAATATTACTATCTGTTAATATTTGTTACTATCCAGATTAGAAATTTCTTAACAATGATATAATGATATTGATGATAATAAGTATTATCATAATAGTTATAAGGATTGTAATCATAATAACCATTTCAAGTTTGAGTGATAAGGTGGCCTGTGTAACTCAACGTACAAGGAATATCTGCAGTTCTAAGGTCACTGCTCGGTATCAACACCAGCCATTATCTTGCAAAAGGGAAGGGATATAGTCTGGTCTATACCATTTTATAACCTGGCCTAGCCTAACTTATACCCTGGATGTAAGATGGCTTAACCTAAAATAACTCTGGGTATAAGATAGCTTAACCTAAAAAAAACGGGTATATTCTGGGCAGTCACACCGGCTTCTTAACTGGAGATATCGGCTCACGTGATAGCGCCCTTTAAAGAAATGTGTCAAATCACGAGACAGTCGAAACATTGTGGAGCTCATGAAATCAACAGCAAATATACATTCTCCAAGTCAAATGGCAGCGGGAGGTCGCGACGCCACGTTTATGGCGATTCAGACATACACTAAATAGGTCAAGATAAACCACGAGCATATGGTATAGTAAAACTTACATAATCATTATCAACAACACAGGACTCTAAAGTAATAGATGATACAATACGAGGAAAGGGAAATCAACATAACTTTTCT